ATGTCACAATTGATTTATTGAATTAAAATATTCTAAACTGACTAAATATGAAATTGTGATAGGCCATAAAACATGTTACGGAGTTGCAGCCCAGTTGCAAGAGTCAATTTTTCTGCCTGCAATCCCCTCTCTGTGAAAATTTCACGTCAGTTCCAAGATCCATGCCAGACGTTCTCTGGAAGGGTGAGCACCTCTCACTGTTTCTGTTGCACATTCTCTCCCAACTGTGCCAGACTGCTAACTCAAGAAAGACTAGACCTTCATTGAATATACTCGATTGTCTCAGGGCTTTGTAGAAACTTGAAAGGGGTGGAAAAATCACAAAAAACTTCACATGGTTACAGAGCTGAACATCCAGCCTGAAAATAAAGGGAAAGTGAGATGTGAAGTTATTCGGAAGGTCCCACTCTTCTCCCAGAACCTGGAAGATAGTCAGACAATTAGGGTCAGAAAGTGCACACCTTCTTAATCCACCTCTGTCTCTTTCTTTAATACAGCTCTTGTCCTAGTTCCATGGGGCCTTATTAATAACCAGGTGACACTAATGCTAATGCCTTCCTGGAAACACAGGATGAGGTACGGCAATTTCCTCACCTATTAAAACTATGTCATATGAGATTTTCCGGGAGGTGCTTGGCAGAAAAAATATTAGTTTACTTCTACCTTCTAGTAAATAAATGAATAGCAGCAAATTGAAAAGATTGAACATTTTAAAATAAGACTTTTGTTTTTGTTCTGTGTTGCTCAGTGATGCCATAACTGGACTTGTTTAAAAAAAGAATTTCATATTAAAGACTGCATATGCCTAGTTGGAAGTAGATGAGAAATATTCTTTTTTTTATGTCCTAAGCACCAAAATAGGACTCCATATGGTACAGTGTAGCTGCGTAGGCAAAGTTGCACTAAGATTTTAAACAAAAGTTCATCCTCTGATTCAGAACCAAGATACTTTACTTAACCAAGAAAGTAATTGTGTCACAATATTTTGTACTTATAGACTACATTCTTAAGATAATTTCTCAGTCTTGTCAATATATTATATTACCTTGTAGGAAGCCATAATTGGTAAAATATTTACACTAAATGATGGGTAAATATCCATTAGGTATCCAATATGTAAATAATATTGAACAATTCAAGCACCTTTTACTTGGGTTATACAATACCACCCTCTGATAGTTCTCATTTTTTCCACTTTGTAGGTTAGGGAACTATGGCTTGTGAAGAATAAGAAATTTCTACTGTCCTGAAGTTACTAACTGAAACAGATAACTAGAGGACCTTATGTTTTGCAAACTACTTAGACAAGAAAGATAATGGCCATAATCAATATGATCATGCAGAGATTCACCATTTTAAGAAACATATTAGTTAAATGATATGGGTTAGCAGAACAAAGCAAGAAAACACAGAAGTATTACCATGACTTAATAAGGCATCACAAACAACAGGGTAAGGGAATTTTATACAAATCAGAGGAAGGTAAATTGTGGATATGTTTAATGCCATCTTTCAAGCTATTTCTACCTTGATAAGAAATCTTGCTAACTCATGGGTTATTTCTGAAGACTTGATGAATAGTCAACTACTGTTTACTTTTGAGCAGACGAGAACCATTCTTTCTTCATTCCAAGCACACTGCAACGAATGATTTATGGTGAACTTTCATTCACAGTATCCCCCTCTGGCAGGATTGGGTTTCTGAAATACTGGACTGTGCAGAGACAAAGGTAGAAACAAAGACACTTGGAAGTTTTTGTGGGGAATTTTCAATAGGAGAGGGAGTGTGCTCACTCCTCCTGGGGTGTGAGATGTCAGCCACGAGTCCACTGAGTGACTAACTGGGGGAAACAGGTAACCCATGTGAAAGGGGAGACACAAGGAGGAGGGAAGAGGAAGGGGAGTTGAAAGAAGCAGAGAGGTACTCAGGAAAGACTGTTAAAAAGGACACACAGGGAGTAGAGGAGAGAAACCCGCCTAGCTAACCCCAACAACTGCAGGCACATTCTTCCCTCACACATTCCACAAGTAAGTTCCCCCTCTGCCCTTCTGTGGTTTGTTTCTCTACACATTATCTCTCTTTTTTTGTTCAAGGCACTTGACATAGAGTTTTATTACCGGCAATGTTAAATTTAAGTTATGTAAGCAAGCATGTTCGTTACTACAGAAGGTTTTTTATTTCCAGGACCTCGTGATAGGCAATGGCATAGTAAGTCTACTGAGCAGTTATTTATAGGGAACACTAAGAAAGGCAGTGTGGCTCAATGACAGCAATGCCAGAAGTGAAGACACTAGACAGTGCCTGGGGAAATAAATACCAAAACGCAAACAATAAGAAATAGCACAAAGCAAAAATCAAATATATCGTTAGGATGCATAGATGAACTATCAAAATCTGTTTATGGTGTATGTAGGTATACAGAAAATAGAAGCAGAGAGCTTGAGGACCAACATCCCATTCTAAATATTTGGGATTCTACCTGAGGTTCTAGTCACATTAATCCTGACTGCACACTTTTAAGTGACCATAGTCTTATTTGGTGTCAGTGACCTAGGGTACTCTAGGTATTCCTAAAATGCCCTCCCATTTCAATACAGGAACTGTAATGCAGTGCTTACACCTAGTCCCAGTCAGCTGCAGAGGAATGCAGAATGGCTTTGTGTTTGCTGCAATGCTTTGCTATCTTGAAATTGCTAGTTTCTAAATAAACAAATGCATATTTCTTTTTCAGTATTTATGAGAAATCACAGTGATTCTGTACTAAGGATACTTGCTCTATAAATGCCTCAGACCAATGATCTTGCTTTTCAAAGCAGCCTGCTTATTATGTGCCAAGAGGTATGATACATTTCAACATCAGGACCCTGCATGATGGCTTAGTGGCTAAATCCTTGCCTTGCACAATATGGGCACCAGCTCATGTTCTGGCGGTTCTGCTTCCCAGCCAGTTCCCTGTTTGTGGCCTGGAAAAGCAAGAGAGCATTACCCAAAGCCTTGAGACTCTGCACCTGCATGGGAAACCCGGAAAAAGCTCCTGACATCTGGTATCAGAACAGTTCAGCTCTGGCCATTGTGGCCATTTGGAGAGTGAACCAGTGGACAGAAGAGTTTCCTCTCTGTAAATCTGCCTTTCCAACAAAAATAAATAAATCTTATGCTCACCTGTCACATACTCTTGATGATACTGTTATTTAGAAGCACTACTCCATACCACAGAGCACATGGCTAGGGAGTCGTGTATCTGAACTCATCTAAACATTTTCTCCAAGAGGACATCTCATGAGCACAAGCTCTGGATGTGGCAGCAGAGGACAGCCATGGTAAGAGTGTCCACATAGTGTCCTTGTCTGGAGACCTTAAGAGGCTGTGTCACGACACGCCTAGCCACCCTTCTGCTGTGATGGACTTGCTCACATGGCATACATTAGAGTAGCTATTCCAAATGATAACATCAGCATTCCTATCTGCTGCCTGAATCAAACCATCATCATTCTTTAGCACTGAGCTTTCAGACATGATACAAGTAACTGTGTAAGGTCAAACAGAAATCTTTCCCTGCGGTACTTTAATGTGCAACAGTGCTGGGTCCTTTCCTAGGTAGGGGAACCAAGTTAGATCCAGAGCTAAAAGGAGAGCCAGGGAGGAGCAGGAAGGAAAGTTGTGCATGACACAGTATAACGTATTCTTAGTGTTTTCCAGCCTCACCCAGCCTTTTTTGAGTAAAAAATCGCATCATTAAGTTTGAAGGAAAGGAATGATGAGTTCAATGTGTTTATTTTAAAGCAATTCTCTCACCTTATGGATGTTTGATCAAAATCACACCTTTTATATTAATGGCTATGGATTCACTGTGAGGTAGAATAAGCTCATTCTGCTTAGAGATGTTTAAAGTGATTTCTGTTTGTCAGCTCTTTCCTCTTCTACATAACACACACCAAGGGGCAGTATTTCTGTGCCAGACTTACAGACTTCAATTCATCAATTCCATGAGTGAACAGAAGTCTAGCCTAGTCTAAAAGCACAACCAAAGCTAGTGATTAATTTCACCTGATTTAAGAAGGTATAAAAAAAAGTTATAAAAAGAAGGTATCAACATCTATTTGAAAACGAAAACTAAATTGGTAACCACAGTTTCACATGGAAGCAGATCAAAATCAAAAGAATAAGCAGAAAACTGTGGAATTTAATGGTACTGATGAGCCAGGTCTCTTAGGATGTGAGTTCTCTGAGGATCAGAAGCAAAGACACTGTGAGTACAGGGAAGTAAGAAAGCATATAACTGATTTGGTATTAGGGTATGCTTTATACTATGGATTATGTTTCCTTTTCATGTTCCCTCTAGACTTAGTTATTTGGGGCTGTGAGTCTGGGAGGGCCAGCTTTCTTCATGACTTAATATTTAATATGCCTCCATGGAATTTTATAATCACATAGACTTTATTTCATATACTTTAAGAGGAAAGATTTCCTTTCGTCCCTGAAAAGATTTATTTTAGCAAATGAGATGCATTTCTGCAAAGATCTTAAAAGGTCATTTCAAAAATATTGATCATACATGTTTCTTTATGACATTTGCCTAAAATTTTGATATGAACAGCTAAATCGGCCCATCCCATGAACTGAGCAATGAGGAACACAATAGCAATGTCTCCACAGGTTTTGCTATCTTTTTTAAGTTAAATGGGTTTGTCAGCACAGCAAGGGCATCCAGCTCTTACATGGTCTGTTTTTGGGAGTTCCCTCACACTGTAGGTTATTTTACCAGACAGGAGTCCTGGCATAACACCACCTAGCTACTTGCTGTAGCATTACAACCTCTATGCCTACTCCTTTCACTCAGACTCCACATTTTGCCAAATGTCAGCACCCTTTGGTTTGCAAGCCCAGGGTGAGGGCCATTTAATTTTTCATTCAGGCTATAAAAGTTGGCAACCCCAGTGGCATCACACCTAATAAAATATCGGTTTTAAAATGTCATTGTGCAAATGAAAACACCTACCTTTCTTGTAGAATAAGTTTGTTCTCTTTCTTCCAAAAGTCTTTAAAGTCAGAACTGAATTCATGCCAGATACTGAAGAAAACATTTGGGGACACCTCCTTCTCTCCAAGTTTTGGTTTCATGAAGAAATAGGCTGTGGTCTCCAAGAAACTGTCAAAGCAGAGGCACATGAGAACAGAAAAGCTACGATGACTTCCCAATGCGGGCTATTCCTTCTCCATCCAAATGCTGATTTCATTCATGCGCATTCATTATTACCAAGAGAAATCAAACTTCACACTCCAACAGTAGTCCTTCAGGGTTCATTCTTTATGGCTTCATGTCACAATGTTAGAAACACAGTACAAGCAGATACTTCTACACTAATAACAGACAATAACTATTTCTGGTTCAACTCCATTTTCAAAATCAATCACTATATATTTACTGTGTTTTGAAAATTAACCTAACTGGAAGCTATGGACCTCTGCTTTCTTTTTTAACTCCAAACAAATGGAACATCAGCCACTGGTCTCCAAACTAATATGTATTTCATCTTTAAATTATATCATATGTATATTATATATCTTCCTATATACATTGCTGGGGGCCAAGTGGAAGATGGTGTTCCAAGCAGTGGTGACAAATTCTCCCACCAAAGACCACAGTATTCTATCACTGACAAGACTCCAATGCAGGCAGCCAGCATTGTGGCTGTTAAATGGGTCAATCATCTAAAAGTACATCATCTAAAAGTACCACTCAGGTGGCTTCACATTGTTGAGCTCAAGAGTTTTTCAGGGTTATTTGGCAGGAAATGTGTAACTAGTAAATGGGAAGTTGATGACTTGATGAAAGTCCTCTAGCTTTGTGACTAATGTTCTGAAAAGGACTGTAGCGAATAGAGTTGCTAGTGTCACGGTGAAGGCACCCTGCCGGTTGGTGAAAGAAGGCCAGAGATGTTGCAAAATGGGGCGGCATGCAATCCTCATTTTTTCTTTTATCTTTTTCATTTCTGTTTTAGAATATGCTCAGCACTGTTTTGCTATCCAGTACTCAAGACTGATTTAATCTGATATAAACATCTCCACAATGATTTGTTCAATATAAATGGCTATTCATACTTCATATAATTGCTTTGGACATGTGCTATGAAAATTACTATGAAATCTTTGAGATGAGTATGTGCAGAAGATTAGATCACACATTAAAAAATCCACAATTTTCCTGACCATTGACTACCAAGGTGTGAGCAGTGTCTGCTTTTAAATTTGCCTTAGGGCTATGTTTGAGAAGCAAAATTCTCCCAGAACACCCATGTTTAAGTTCTGGAAAGAGATAAAGATACTGATTTAATTATGCTCAAGGATTTCAAGAATTAGGTACTTCTTTCTGGGCATTGTGATTCAAAGGGTTAAGCCATGGCATGGATGTCCACATCCTATAAGAAAGCCTGTTTCAGGGCTGGCACTGTGGCATAATGGATTAAGCTTTCCATTTACAGTGTCAGCATCCCATACTGACATCAGATCATGTTCTGGCCACTTTGTTTCCAATTCAGCTCCCTGCTAGTGCATCTGGAAAGCAGATGAAAACGCTCCAAACCCTAAGACTCCCAAACCCATATGGAAGATTGGTGAAGTTCCTGGCTTTGTCCTGGTCCAGACCCAGCTGTTGTGGTAACTTGGGGAATGAACAAGTGGATGGAAGATATTCTCTCTCTCTCTCCACCACCCACTCCAGCCCTGGATTTATTCTGCCTTTCAGATAAAGGAAATATCTCTACACATCTATACATCTTTAGGTATCTGCCACCTGTGTAGGAGTCTTGACTGTAGAGGTGCTGGCTCCTGGCTTAATCTTTACCCAATGTTGGCTCTTAGATGTACTTGGAGAGCAAACCAGCAGATGGGGAATATCTACCTCTTATTGCTATCTCCATCTCTGTTTCTGTCACTCTTTGCAAATAAATAAATGCATCTTTTAAAAAAGTTATAAATTTCTCCAAAGTTAATTGTCCAAGAAAAAATGACAAGGCCTGGTCAATTAAATACAAGAACAGTCAGACTATGAATCAGAAAGAACCATGTGAGAATTTGGCTGTCACAAGTCATGATTATGGGATGAGAATGTGTCTACAGAACGTGCTGATGGTGTCAGGACTGGTGGGGTGCAGATGGTAGACAGTATAAATGGCTTATGACATATCTGGATCACATTTATTAAAACGAATAAAGTATACACAAATAACCCTCGTGTGAAAACTGGTCATTTTTTTTTTTTCATTTCTAAGGAGTATTTGTGCCCCATTCGACTAAAGTTACATCTCAAAACATTTGACTACAAAATTTAATTCTCTCTCAGCACTTCTCTGGTATTTATATTTTAAATAATTGATCACTACAGAGCAACCTAATCTGTTTGGACAGAGATATCTATGTTAAAACAGTTGATTTCTCTGCTCAGTTGTATTGCAACACTTTGCAAGGCAACATACTATAAAAGAAAAAGTGTAGTATCAAGATTGGAAAAAATGTGGGGATAGCAATGTGGCAAGACAAGTTAAATTCCAAGACAGACTCAAGTCCCATCTGCTCCAATTTCAATCCAGCTCCCTGGTAACACACCTGGAAATCAGGCAGATAATGGCGCATGTGCTTGGGCCACTTGGAAGACTGAGAAGAAAACCTTGGCTCTGGCCTGGCCCAACCATGGCAGTTGTGCTCATTAGGAGAGTGAACCAGAAAACGGGAAAGTTCTCTCTGTCTCTCCCTCTTTTTCAATAACTCTTTTAAATCAATAAAGATTAAAGATTTAGAAAAATCAAACAGATAATCCTGAGTATATATATCTAACTATATGAGCAAACCATTGAACAAATCATATTTCGATTTTTCCCCTGTAAAACAGAGTATATGATATTAAAAAGTACTTTCTAGTGTTCGTTGAATGTTTCAATACAAAAAAATTTGTAGCTTGATTTTACATACATATTATATACATTATGTACATAATATTGCATAATAAATAAATATATACTTCCTACAAATTTTCTCTAAATGTTAACTGATCCAATTGGGCATGATTTATTGACATTTATACATAAAATTATGTTCCCTGAAAAAATTTCTCTGGTTACTGATATATATATAGAGAGATTTCTAAAACTAGGAGTAACTATCCTATTTTTAAATAATATCATCTTAGCCTTTAGGCTGGTAATTTAACTTGTGAATCTCAGGTTCTTCACATGTAAAGTTTAGAGAAGGCCTGTGTTTCCAGGTTGTCATGAACATTAACTGAAAAGTACCTTATAAGTAATAAACTAAAATAGCATTCTATGTATTAAATCTTTAAGAGGCAAGTGTTATTCACCAAAAATGCTCTTCATGTAAAACCTCATGAATTAGTGCGACTTATTACTTTCCAAAAATAATTTAAAGGGGTGTAAAGCTGATTAATAAGATGAAACTTGCATCCACAGTTCATTCCTTTGTTTTTAAAGATTTATTTTTATTGGAAAGTCATATACAGAGGAGGAGAGAAACAGAAGATCTTCCATCTGATGATTCACTCCCGAAGTGACCGCTATGGCTAGAAATGCACTGACCTGAAGCCAGGAGCCAGGAGCCTCTCCCAGGTCCCTCACGTGGGTGGCACGGTCTCAAGGCTTTGGACCATTCTCATTTGCCTTCCCAGACCACAAACAGGGAGCTGGAAGGGAAGTGGGGCCACTGGAATCAGAACCGGCACCCCTATGGGATCCTGGCACATGCAAGGAGAGGACTTTAGTCTCCTGGTTATAGTACAGGGCCCCATAGCACATTCCTTGCAGGTGTCTCGGATAAGTGTCACTTGAGCATGCAACTCAAGACTTGTGAGTACTACTTCAACTGTGCCCAACCAACCAAACCCTAAGAAAAAGTGCTAATATTTTTCAAACAGCCAAGCCAATGCTATGGTTATAATGTGAAGGTTAGCAAGGCATACCACAGGTTATATAAAAGTGCTTTGCATTAAGAAGTATTCAGCTAGTTATAATGTATATGGCCCAAAAGATAGTCATTTGAGTGGTAGGCTAGATCTAAACTAGTCTCCTTTGAGAAAGCTCTCTTTTATTAAATCTGAAACCCAAATATTCCTGTCCGCAAAACAACAGTACATACTCACTAACAGGGAGAGAGATGTTTTGTCTAGCATCTTCCTTGCTACATAGACTAATTTGTGAGCCTTGCTCCAAATGTTCTGGCATACTAAGGAAACGATAGTGGGGCCCAGCACCATAGCCTAGTGGCCAAAGTCCTCACCCTGAACAGACTGGGATCCCATATGGGTGCCGGTTCTAATCCTGGGAGCCCCACTTCCCATCCAGCTGCCCTCTTTTGGCCTGGGACACCAGTAGAAGATGGCCAAAGCCTTGAGATCTTGCACCCACATGGGAGACCCAGAAGAAGCTCCCAGCTTCAGACTGGCAAAGCTCCGGCTGTTGCAACCACTTGGGGAGCGAATCAGTAATGGAGGATTTTTGTCCCTCCTGTTCTTTATATATCTGACTTTCCAATAAAAATACATTAATCTTTCTATAAAAAAAGAAGTGATTGTGAGAGGAGCTGTATGGTAACACTGAAGACAGGCAGTCTTCTCTGGAAGACGCCACTCCACAGATCACTGATCAAGAAATCCGAACTGTTAAATGGTCTTCTCTGGAAAAGAACAGTGCCACCTTTTATTTATAATTTTGCTATTTTTAAATTTATTATTCCACAAACATCAGTTGATATAACTATTTTTCTCCATTGTGGAATTAAGACTCTCTACGAACTTTTGGAAAGATGTGTAGAGTAGTAACATTATTTTGGAATTTTGCTGGATCTTGTATAAAATTTAAGAGAGCAACTAAGACATTACAAATCAAGCCTAAGAGGAAAATGCCCACAGAAAAACTGAGGTCACAGGACCACTCATATTTCAGATCTCCAAGAGGTGAGGACAAAGCACCAATAGCACAAAACCCATGTGGTCCCATCATCTTCACAGAGGGAACCACCCGAGGGCCCTGAGAGGAGGGGACTCCCTGGTGCTGTGATTTGTTCTTGATGATGTTGCTGTTGTTGTGGCTGCTCTAACTCATACCAGTTGTTGACCTTGTTTCATGGCTTCTCAATTACGGA